ATCCCGCCAGAGCGCCTTCTACTTCTAATAGTAATAATAGTAATAGGCCATGAACTAGATCAGAATCATTCTCAACGAATCCATAAGAAGTGATCCAATCTTTTTCATCGTGTCTGGATGAAGACCAAAGATCTTGAGCGACCGATCCGGCAGAACAACTCAAAAGATAAAGAAGTATCGTGAATTTCTTCATGCTCGTTCCAAGTTCGAAGTACCATTTGTACAAATAAGAATCCCCTCCCTTACATGATTTCTTCTTCATATAGATAGATATAGGATCTATGGGGCAATTACTTAGAAGTACATTTTGTGTAACAGCCCTTCCTATCTGATAGAAAAGGATCCCATGATCCTGAACCGATCTTATCTGGGATCGAAAATCCCAAGTTTTTCTATGAAGAGCTGATCTAATTGTATTAGTTTCTATAATGGATTTCTTCTGTGTAATACTAATTGATAGGGCCTCATTGATAAGTGCTACAAGATCTCGCGCATTGGAACCCATGGTTATGGACCCGAATCCGTTAGTATGGAACATCTTCTTTTCCAAGTGAAATCCCCTAGTATATGAAAGAATGAAAAAGTGCTTTCGTTGTTGTGGAAGAAGAAGCCTTCGTATCTTAATGCATGTATTTAATTTATTCGGAGCTATTAGAGCGGGATCCACTTTTTGGGGAATATGAGTCGAAGCAATAACAAGAATCTTTCCAGTGGAACATCTTTCACAATCCCTGGAGAGATAGTTCTCTAATAGACCGAGGGATAAGTAATTCGACTCATTCACATGCAGATCATGAATGTTTGGAATCCATATTATGCAAGGAGACATTGCTTTTGCTAATTCGAATTGAAGGGTGATATCAAATCGGTCTATTTTCGGCGTCATATACATAGTTAGCAGCTCCATATCAATATCAAGGTCATCATCACTATCATCAATATCGTCACTATCATCAATATCGATATCGTCACTATCATCAATATCGATATCATCAATAAGATAACCTTTAGGCTTGTCATCCAGGAACTTGTTCGGAAATACCGTAATGAAAGGAACATAGGAGTTTGTCGCTAGGTATTTGACCAAACAGGATCGTCCAGTTCCTATAGAACCTATCACTAAAATACCTCTAGAAGGGGATAGGGCTAAGCGGAGCGAAAAGGGTTTTCCATGAGGAGATGGGGAATGAAAACTATTAGCCCCACACGAGGTTTGTGAATAAGTGATTGTCTGATAATGAGCAAGGAATATCCGTCTTTCTGCTAAACAGGATCTATTGAACTCATAATTCATTAGATCCTTTTGATGAATGTCAACTAAGTATCGTAAGGAAATTGATCCCGGTTGTTCAATCATTTGATAACCAGAGTCATTCTTTGATAAATGATCACTATGAGTCAGACTCAATAGAATTTGATCAATCCTTTTTTCTGTCGTTAAGGTGGAGAACTGAACCAAGAATTCTCTTTCTTCATCATCAATCGAATCACTGTTCGCGACCCAGAATTCTATTTTCTCATCAATCCAATCACCGTTCACGTTTTTTCTTTTTCTTATCAATGAATAGATCTCTTTACTTGTACGACTTAGATGTCTCGTATTTCTCGAAAAAATGATTCGATTGATGGGATTTGGTATGATACTTACAAGATCGATGAGATTGATCTTCCAATATTTATTCTTAGAACGTATTGATTTGACCCCATAAGCGGGACCACCACCCAATAGCATGTTGCCACCAGAAGCAGAACCCCGTATTTCTTCCAGAGAATCTCCTAATTGTTCCAGAACAACTAGAAAGAGATTCTTTAACCAGAAAGGATTCAGTTCAGATGTAGGATACCTATCCAGAAGTTTTCGAAATTCCATCATGTATGATGGAATCATCAAAGATTTGATCTTTTCTAACTCTGTCTGTAACTCACTAGAGGCTCGGGAAACAAAGAGAAGATGTATACGAACGAGATATCCAGCAACAAGAAGAAGGAAAAAGATGGAATAGAGGAACTCCCGAGCATTTGTTGATCTCAGATGTGCCCATATCAATGGAACGGGTGACTCATTATTTCGATGAATCATTTCTTCGGACAGAAGAAGATTCTGTAAAAATTGACTCGAAATCTCACTTATCGGAGTCCATTGTGGAAGAATCTTCTGAGGAATTGGCCGTGATATATCTGATCCATGCATCATATCATGAAAAATGGATACAAATTTTTGACTACTACTCAGTATCGGCAATGGGTCTGAAAGAGTATCTAAAAGGGTGAAATTGAGATATTTGCACCCTGTCGAAGTAAGGAACCATGGCATATATGTTTGGAACAGATTCCATTTTGAGAGATTTGAAAAAGCACTATCTCGTTGAAAGGTTCTATACATCTGCCCTTTCTCAACGCATTTCTTTAGACAAAGACTCCGTTTTTTCCTCTTTCCGGATGGTAAATACTTCTCAGAACATGGAGTGTGAATCAAACCCATGTTTGAATTGAAACTGAG